AGACAGACAGACAGACAGACACACAGACACACAGACAGACAGACAGACAGACAGACAGGCAGACAGACAGATAGACAGAGACAGATTTTGATAGAGCAGATAGAACATTGATTTCTGATCCCATGGCCTTAGTAACTCAAAACGGCCAAAATTGCAAGATAGAACTTAGTAATTTTGAGGTAGCGAAATATGGTGCGCTCCACAGTGAACAGGAAGTACGTCAGGGGTGACCGTTTTTAGATGTTTTAGTTCAAGTCTATGGTTCTGTGTCAATGCAGGCGGCCAGAGAATGGACATAGAAACTTCCAGAAGGTGGTTCAATGTGACGCCAACTGAACTAACGACCTATAACAATACAAGAAAATGTCGAGGTTTTTCTTTTTTCTGTAAGATATTTGAAATTGCTACCCTTGATAATATAAGAAAAAGGTAGTACTCAAGACAGTGACACAGCGACTGAAAACTACAAACTACCAAAAAGGTGGTCAAACGTGATACCAACTGATCGAGCTAACGGACTGCCCAGTCAGAAAATGGACACAATAACTACCAGACGGTCGTACAGCACGATGGTAACTGAACTAACCGACCGTCTGGTCAGGGAATGGACACAAAAACTACCAGAAGGTGGTCCAGCATGATAAAAACTGAGCTAACAGAGCGACTGGTCAGCGAGATTGAAAAAAACATAGAAACTAGAAAAAAGGGGAAGTGGCGTCGGTAGCTTTTAAGTGGTAAGGCTACTGGACCCGTGATCGCGAGGTTGCGGGTTAGGGGATTCGAGCCTCAGCTTGGGAAAGGCACTATACACGAATTTCCCATTTAGCTCGGCCCTTTCGTAGATGGACGTTAGATTCAGAAGTCCCACCTCTTAAATGACCTAATAGTGTTGAAAGGGGCGTTAAACCTATACCATGTCACCATTTCACTTAGAAGACGGCCAGGCATGATAGCAACTGAGCTAACTCACTGACCACTTGGTTAGAGAATAAACTAACCCCTAACCCCTAACCCCTAACCCCTAACCCCTAACCCCTAACCCATGATAGCAACTGGGCTAACTGACCACTTGGTTAGAGAATAAACAAACCCA